CCCTAAAGAAATGGGTGGATTTTTTGTCCCCAGAGTTTTTCTGTTGGATTATTTAGGTATTTACTTATTCTAAAATGGTAAAATTTTTTGTCTAGCTAGTAAATAGTGTTGTGGCCTATATTCTCTTAGAGTTGATGTCTTAGTAATGAGTGTACAATATATACGGAAGGGGAAATGAAAGCATGTTAACAGCAGCATACATTAAAATTTGCGACCCTTAGAGAAAGAAATTGTATTTGAAGTTTGAACATTTACTGAACTAGAATTGGCCTGTGGTCCTTTTTCATTATGAGTGTCATGTAGGCATTTCCAAATAACAGTGCAGTGGAATACAATCACTGAAATCCTGTGTCACAACATAAAGCAGAATTGTACTCTAAAACAAAGTAAGACGCAAAACATTGCAAAAGCCATTGCTACTACATTAACCTGCTCCATACGATACCTGAGTTGCTGTGCATGTGAAATATCGATTGAGAATCATGTTAACTTTATCAAGTTAGTAGTTACGAACTTTTTGTATTGTTTGTTTCTTGAGAAAAGGTAACATTTCTGCTTTGTTCGGTCCTTTACCTTAGCTTTGTTCATTAAACAGTTTCGTGAAAAATAGCTTATATAATCTATAGTCTTGGATAAGTTTATGAATTACTAACGTTGTTTAAATTTTATATTTCATTCTAGGTCCAGCAGTTTAAGCAGGATCCACGCCCAACAACATGTCTTCACTCTGTTTTCAATGTGCATACAGGAGATGAGTTGCTCTCCTATGAGGAATATGGTCATCTTCAGGTAAAAAGATATTATAAATTTTATTCTCCTTATATTCTGTAGCATAGAACAGTGATCCCCAACCTTTTTGGCACCAGGGCCCAGTTTTGTGGATAACAATTTTTCCACGGATGGCTTAAGGGCTGGATGGTTTTGGGATGAAACTGTTCCATCTCAGATCATCAGGCATTAGATTCTCATAAGGAGAGCACAACCTGAATCCCTTGCATGTGCAGCTCACAATAGTATTTGCGCTGCTCTGAGAATCTAATGCCACTGCTGATATGAGGGGAGGCAGAGCTCAGGCGTTAATGCTTGCTCACTGCCGCTCACCTCCTGCTGTGCAGCCTAGTTCCAAACAGGACGTGGACCCATAGCAGTCTTTGGCCCAGAGGTTGGGAAGCCCTGTCATAGAGGATTTGAGGCTGTTTAAAAATAATTTTTAAATTAGATTTTATAAATTGTTCAAAATAGAAGTACAGAATCAACCCTCAAATGGAGAAGAAAGTGAAATGGCAGCCACCAGGGCTGAGTTAATTGCGGCAATTGAACATGAAATCCGAGTAAATTCTTGGTCTTCAAGCAAAAAGGGTAAATGGATAAATTATAATATTATTAATGTGCAAAAGAAGGAAGCCTACAATTATTTCAGTGACGAAAGTTTTTACATGTTATCAAATTTAGAAGAATTTTAGCATTTAGGAACTAGGGGACAAAAAACAGTTGACAGTGGTGTTATAGCAAATCAGTTTTGTTTAACAGCAGTTCATTTCTTAATGTATCATCCTTCAGTAAAGCTAAAAACATGTCACTGAAATGTAATTCCAAATGGTATTTCTGAAGTCCGTAAATTTTGTCTTATATAATATATTAAATTTTATACCTATGCTTAGAACACACTGTGAAGTTTTATTTTTTTTTTCATTTTATTCCCCTCTCACATCTGTGTATTGTTTTTTAGCTGCACATTCTGTTGTTTAATCGATTTTCTGCTCATCATTTGGTTCTCTGTCTTTGGGACAGAATACTTACTATTCTTATATTCCTTACTAAATTAAGAGTATCTCCTTTTTATAGTCCCTCTCACTCTAGAGATCTGAAATGTCTTACTTTAGTATATCTTCTCTAAACACAGAAAGTGCGGTGCTCTCATTTCTATGCAGCAGAAACTCTTGTACTTATTTGTAAATAGCTCCTTGGAGAGTTAGTGTTGTATGAATATGTAGTTTTTCAACCTTAACCTTATAACTATAGCATAATCAGATTGTATGTGCCTTTTCCTTTGATAAATATGTTTGCTATCAGAAGTAGGGTTTTCAGAAAATAGCAGATTATTTATCTTTTTATCCCAGAATTCAGCTCAGCACTTGGTACATAGTTGGCCTTAAATTTTGGTCAACCTGTTATATGGTAGTCCCTTTGCAACTTACGATGTACTAACATTTTCTCACAGAAGCATCCCACAAGTCAGAACAGAGAGCTCTTAGAGGTGTCCCCTGTAAAAGGCTGCCCATAGGAATGAAATTTCTTCGAAGTCATTTTTCAATGGCTAGTGTCAATGCTGTAAGAGAACATCTGGGGGAGCCTGACAGTGGGATGAAACCCTTCTCACCATACAACCATGTTTTAAGAAGAGTCACTAAAATGTTAGTGTAAATCTGAAAAATCTAAAACCAGAATACTGCATCTTCTTGTGTGGCCCACTTGAACCTTGATAAGTCTCTGACATCCAATGGACCCTTGAGTGCCAGAAAGTCAGGAGACACCCGGGATCAGCCTGGTTCCTGAGAGGATCACCAGCAATGCCAGGCCCTGGGCTGCTCTGCCCAAGGCCTCCAGGGCACCAATAATTTTCTGCCCCAATTTTCCATCTATTACTCAGTTGGGCCAGAGGAGAGTCATGGAAGACATAGCCACTCGAGCTGTCAGAGGGAAATAATCTATGTTAGAATTCTATGGGAATAGAATTACACCTTGCTTTCTCTCTATTTTTAACTCAGGCTTACAGTTTCCTGGCTGAGTGAAAGTTTTTCACTGCCTTTTTTTCTTATTTACTTATTTAATAACAGTTTTATTGAAATATAATTCACATAACATGTAATTCACCTATTTAAAGTATATAATTTGATGGTTTTTAGTATATTCAGAATTTCTCAACCATTATCACTATAAATTTTAGAACATTGTCATCACCCCAGGAAGAAACGTTATACCCATTACCTGCAAAAATAAACTTTGTATTCCCTATATTCTCCAAAGCCCCCCAGCTCTAGGCAGCAGCCAGTCTTTCTGTCCTTGTGGATTTGTCTGCTTTTGGCATTTCATATACAATAAATGATCTTTTTGTGACTGGCTTTTTAAATTTAGCATTATGTTTTCAAGGTGTATTGGTCAGGATTCTTCAGGGGGACAGAACTAATAATGATGAAGAGAGGAGAGGGACAGAGAGAGAGAGGGAGGGAGGGAAGGAGAGGTTAGAGGAATTGACCCACACAATTATGGAGGCTGAGAAGTCCCACGGGAGGCTGTCTGCAAGCTGCAAAAGCAAGGATGCCGCTAATGTGGCTTAGTCCACATCTGAAAGCCTCAGAACCATACAAGCCAGTGGTGTAACTCTCCGTTGGAGGATGAAGGGCCGAAAGCCCAGGGGGCCACTGATGGAAGCTGGTTAACGTGGAGTTCTGATGTTCAAAGGAAGGAGAAGAAGGGCATATGAGAGCAAGAATTCACCTTTCCTCTGCCTTTTTGTTCCATCTGGGTGGCCCCCAGTCATTTCGGTGGTGCCTGCCTACCTTGAGGGCAAATCATCCCCACTCAGCCGGCCAACTCACATGCCTGCTTCCTCCAGAAACATCCTCATAGATGCTCCCAGAAACAATGCTTTGCCAGCTGTCTAGGTATCCCTTTATCCAGTCAAGTTGACAGCTAAAATGGACCAACCAAGGGTTGTGCCTGTCGTGGCACTTACATTTCCTGCTTCTTTACCTGAGACAACTCACACATCCCATTCAGGATTCTGTGAGTATCCTTTTTTGTTAAAGTGGATATTAGTATTTTTTTGTTTATATCATAAAATATCTATTTTTAATACACTAAAATAATACCTCCTTTGTTCTTAAAACTAATTCATTCATAAACATGTTTTAAATTATGTTATACCATTAACATTAATATGTTCCTGCAGTTGTTTACGGAAATTCTGTATTTGCTGAATATAAGACTGTTTTCAAGATGCGCCGCCTATTGTTTATGGGGTACTGGCCTCATCATCATGTCTTGCTTACCAAATAACTTTTCTCATTTCCATATATTGGAGGTGGATTGGCATTTCATACTGCCTGTGGGGCAAAGTAGAAGTACTTTAGACCCAAAGCTTGAAAATAAATCTTAAAAAGCAAATGATATATTCCTATTTTTTCAAAGTTCTTTTTGCCATGTAAAGAAAACAAATGATGTAGAAACAATTGTTAACAGTTTTATTTGAAGCTGTTTCCGTAATCTGGTGTTTTCCATTACAATGAATTTGAGAATTTAGAATTTTGCATACAAAGCTGGGATTTTATTATCAACTAAATTCACAACACCTTTCTTTCACAGTAGGAAAGGAAATAGTTTTATGACACTATTAGAGCAAATGACTTGTAATTTTAGCCTTAATTAATTAATTTTAGAACTTGTTTTGGTTGTTTCCTTTAACTTTTTAATGTTTCTGTTTGTTGCAGATAAATGCAGTGTCACTCTATCTCCTTTACCTTGTGGAAATGATTTCCTCAGGACTCCAGATTATCTACAACACTGATGAGGTATCATTTCCCCAAATTTTCTACTACTAAATTTCACCTCTGAAAATATCTTTTTTTTTTTTTTTTTTAGAGACGGAGTCTCGCTGTGTCGCCCAGGCTGGAGTGCAGTGGCCAGATCTCAGCTCACTGCAAGCTCCGGAGTAGCTGGGATTACAGGTGCCTGCCACCACCCCTAGCGAAAATATCTTTTTTTTTTTTTTTTTTAGTTTTCACAGCTATTTTTAGTTTACAAAAAATGTATTCCTATTACATTTATATAATCAGATATAGATGTTGGTTATTGAATGAAAAAGTCTTTATATCTTCAATGCATTGCACTTTTAAAATGAACACAATATGTAACAGGTTGTAAAACTTTACTGCCATGAAGACTCTTATTTCAGGTGATCTCAAATAAAATCATGTAACTTTTACAAAATTTTAGTAACAATGAAAGCAAAATCGCATTTGCAGATTTTCTCAATTATTGTCTTTTTGTTTTGTTTTGTTTTGTTTTGTTTTTTTGAGATGGAGTCTTGCTCTGTTACCGGGCTGGAGTTCAGTGGCACAATCTCAGCTTGCTGCAACCTCTGCCTCCCAGGTTCAAGCGATTCCCCTGCCTCAGCCTCCAAAGTAGCTGGGATTACAGGCATGCGCCACCACGCCCAACTTATTTTTTGTATTTTAGTAGAGACGGGGTTTCACCATGTTGGCCAAGACAGTCTTGATCTCCTGGCCTCATGATCCGACCACCTCGGCCTCCCAAAGTGCTGGGATTACAGGCATGTGAGCCACCGCACCCGGTCTCCTTTTTTTTTATTTTTACATAGTTGCATTTTGTAACTTACCCTTTCAAAAGTAGAGAGAAACTTTTATCCTCTTAAATTATTTTTATTTGTAGGACCTCAGTAGGGTTCTTCATGTTTTTCAAAAGACAAATACCATATTCTTATTCTTATTGGGAAAATTGTAAAGAGTTCATATCCCAAAGATGAGAAGCATTTCTTTCACAGGCATTAATGCTTGAACAAACACGTAGGCACATGTGCTGATATACTTTGAAATGTGCCACAGTGGGAGCAAAAAAGCTTTTATTACTTGGTACATGCAGTGAGAACTCTGTGAAAGAGTAGATGTACTATATATGCTTGTTACTATTCCTCTCCTGTGATCCATGCAAGGGAGAACAGTTACATCAGACACTCAACACCAAAATTGTCATTGGACTGTGCTGAGGGTGCTTGCTACAAAATAGGTGCATGTAGCCCTGCCCTCTAGTAGTTTATATTCTCATACACACTTACAGTGTATGAGTTTATAGTCTCATACAGTAAACAAATTCTATTTAGAAGTGAAGATAAATAATGAAGAAGAAATTATGGTAGTAAGAAAGTAATAGTACCCAGTATGGTGTTTCTTCTATTTGATTTGTCAAAGAATTCTATGGTTTCATTTAATCCAAATAGTTGTTAGTGTTTATAATATTGTAAAGTAGGATTATTCAAGCATTTGGGGTCGGGGAGGAGCTAGGAAACTCCTGTTTTAGTCCAATTTTAGGGAGCATGCTAAAATATAAAACAAACAAGGGAGAGGAGCTGGGAAACTCCTGTTTTAGACCAATCTTAAAGAGCATGCTGAAATATAAAACAAATAAAAGAGGCATGACTCTGTCTGAGGACAGGAGGCCTTCCAGAACCAGCCCACTTAGCTTCTCATTTTTTTCTACCCATAACATCTCCAAAGTACTGAGAGAAATATCCTAAATCCCTGTGGAACATCTTATGATAACCATTTACAATTAGTGGCAACTAATATTGCTTGCATTTGCTTTCCCGCTAATGTTACTGGAGGTAAAATGGTAGTGTTGAAATTGCCTTAGTTAGCAGTGGCTTTGTTTTGTTCAGTAATTTTTTTTTTTTTTTTTTCCTGAGACAGTGTATCACTCTGTCTGCCCAGGCTGGAGTGCAATAACACCGTCTCAGCTCATTGCAGCCTCAACTTCCTGGGCTCAGGTGATTCTCCCACCTCAGCCTCCTCAGTAGCTGGGACTGCAGATGCACACCACCGTGCCCAGCCAATTTCTGTTGTATTTTTTGTAGAGATGGGTTTTACCATGTTGCCCAGGTTGGTCTCGAACTCCTGGGCTCAAGCAATCAGCCCGCCTCAGTCTCCTAAAGTGCTGGGATTACATCTGGGAGCCACCGCACCTGGCCTTGGTCAGTAATTTATTTTTAATTGTAAAAATTTTACTTTTTGCTTTCTCAATATATGTCATAATTCATTTTATATTTTTATTTGTCAACTGCCATTTTTCATGAATATTATATTGCTTTAGCCATTCCATTTGGTTTTATATAGCTTATGTAAGCTTTAAAATTTTTAGATATTTACTTTCCTTCTTAAACTCTTTTTTAAAAAATTTCTTATCTGTGGTTTTTCTTGGCCTTATGGTTTTTATTTACTATATGTGAAGTTTTTATGTACCTAATTATCAATAGCCTTCAATATGTACACTTCAAAATCCTAGAGTAATAAAACATGTCATTTCTGCTCACCATCTTTTTCCTTGAGATTCTATATAATGTGTTGGATCATATGGAGAGGCAGTAAATGGACCTGCATAGAATCAGTTAATGAAATTCTTTTTATCTAAAGATCTCAGATGATTTAATTCTTTGAAAAGTAGTATGACTTGGAAGCCTTTTCTTTTTTAACTGTATCTTAGGCTCTGGTTTGGCTAGTTCTTAACCCTATCACATCTTCAGTTCCTAGTTACATTTACATTTTAAGGCAATCTAAGGACCCAGGATGTCAGTGGGGTTATCATTTATTTTCTTTTCTATTTACTATAAAATGTAAAATTTGCCATAATGCTTATTTTTCTTAGGATTGAAGAATTCAGAGTTTGGAGATAAACATATGCGTGCACACACACATACACACACATACACACATACATACATACATATGTAATAAAATATGGTACTGCATTGTCTGGACTTTGGGGTTTTTGATAAGCCTTTCTTTTGCAGGTCATCATATCTTTACTGGTTCTGTTGTTTTTATAAACTTTGTATCTATACTGTAGTTCCTTTGGGAGAGGGCCATGGTCTTAAGGGTCATGTGCACCCTTACAAAGGGACAGTGAACCTACTGAGTGACCATGTTTGTGGTGATGAACTTTGCTGGAGAATGTATTTCCTAAGGGCGGATGCAGTAGTGTATGCTAAATTTTCTAACATCTTTCGTTGCCCACACAGGTGTACCATGTTTCCTTGGTATCAGTATTTCCTAGTGTCTATAAAAGTCTTGCTGTGTACATTGGTCATACTCATTTTTTATTAAAAATAAAAACTTTGAAAATGACAAAGTTACGTAGTTCTGCCCTTGTACTGCTGTTTGCTTTCTTTATCTGGAGAGAAACTCATCATATATGTTAAACTTAGACCTAAATATAAATTTATCTAAGTCAGTCCTTCTAATAGAGATAACTTATTTACATCTCTTGGAGGGAGGCAAAGTAATGAACTGCTACATGGTGTTCCATGTCTCATTTCGTGACATTCTCCATTAATAAATATTCTAAAAGTAGATTCATAGAGATAAGAAAGAAATCGTTTACAAGTGGGTCCAGAGAAACTTACTTCATTTAAAGTCAAAGTACCCCCTCAAATTTGTATAACAATGAAATTTTGTTTTGTGTTTGAGATACTTTTTTATGTCTCTTACGGAAGTTATTAAGAGCACATTTAGGTTGCAAGCCTTATAATAAAAATTGTGCACAAAACTGTAGGTGCTTGTTCAACATAAGACCTGTGGAAGGCCCCTTTATGAACTCATGTGTCATTTACCTTTTTTAACAAAGATGTTTTCTACCGTATGACCTAGCAGCTCTTTTCAAGTATGTCATGTTTCAGATTGGATTGACACATGGAATTTCTCTCTTACTGTATTAATCATCTTTTGCTATGTAACAAACTACCTCAGAACTTAGTGGCTTAAAAGATTAAACATTTATTATTTCACAGCCCATAAGTCAGGAATATGGGAGCAGCTAAGTTGGGTGGTGCTGACTTGGGGTCTCTTATGAAGCTGCACTTAAGATGTCAGCTGGCTCTGCACTCATCTGAAGGGTTTACTGAGGCTGGAAGACCCACTTCTGAGATGGCTCACTCATATGGCTGTTGGCAGGAAGTCTCAGTTTCTCCCCAGCTGTTATTAGCAAGAGGCCTCTTCAACTGAGTTGCTTTGAGTGTCTTCATGACGTAGCAGGTGGCTTCCTCCAGAGCAAGTGATCCAAGATAAAAAATACAGTGCTTTTTGTGACCTAGCCTCAGAAGTTACATTTATTCAGTATCCTATTTATTACACAAGTCAGTGTTACTCAGTGTAGGCAGGGTTTTCACAAGGGCTTAGATACTAGGAGTTATGTATGATCGGGAGCCAGCCTCCTGTTTTTAGCAGTAATTTTTAGTTCAACTTTGTTAGAGAGATTTTTTAAGGTGGGATTTTTTTTTCTTTGTATACTAAGACTTTTATTTTAAAGATAGGTATTTTATGCTATTATTTTCTATTACTATTTACTAAGTTGTTGTGTACATGTTTTCTCTTTAAAATGTTAAAATTTTTTTCTGGCTTTTATTTATTGTATGGAAACTTTGTGTCCTAGATTCTACCTTTTGCTATGAGGTGGTTATCAGGCTGAACTTGAGGGGTTTCTATCTCAAAAGTTGGAACAAATAAATCTTTTCTATAAGTAATCTTAAGAGGCATTATAAGGTATTCTTAGCTCCTGCTTGTCATCAATTTACAGAGAAATAAGTAAGTTGCTCAAAACTATTTATGGATGGTTTTTCCTCCAAAAATAGAAATATAACACTGTCCTTGTTTCTAAAATTATATGTAGCAATAGTAATAATGACTTAACATTATATAGAACTTATGTGCTGTCACTGTTCAAAGTGCTTTGCATATATAAAAACTTATTTAATCCTTATAGCAACTCTGTCAGGTAGGTACAG